TTGGATGTTTAACAGATGTTTATTGAGAGGACAAATAATAATACATCTTATATTTTGTGAATAATTACTGGATTCCTTTAGACAGAATCATTGACAACCATTAAAGTGTTTTATTAGTCTAGAAGTAATTCATTTTGGTTGATGGACTTTAAGAATTCATTTTGGCTTTTCTTGCCGCCACTACAAGCTATTTAAGCTTCATTATTTTACCCAGATCATCAACGTGTTTTAAAAGTAATCACACTCAGCATGCAGTCATAAAGGCTGGTGTGAGGTATGAGTGAGTGCCCTCAGCCTACAATTAGCTTGATGCGAATGACCCTGGGCCTCATTCTACTCATCCATGAAGCGAGAGAGGTCCCCCCATTTACGCTTACATCCAGGGTCTCTCTCAGCTTGAAAATTCCATAATTTTACATTCACTAAGATGTCTAATTGGAGGACAACCATCCCATACAGCTGAAATCCTATGGTGCCAGATGCATTTTGGCATTCAGAAAAATTTGCATTCTGGACTTGTAATATATCCAGCAGGAACTGGGGCAGCACCTTGAAATTACCTATTTCTATAATGAAATGTATAAAGACACCCAACAGCCTTATATCAGGTCAAGTTTTGCTGCCAAATTAGTTATTTTAAAAATCTTCCCGTATTCTGAACTTTTTGGCTTATCAGAATTGCAGATGAAGGATCCTAGGTGAAGTAGATATGTGTTGCTAGAGAAACTTGTTTGTACCCAGTCAGCAAAAATCCAGTAACTCACAAAAGATACACAAGTCACTGATGCGAAGAAAACACTACAATTCCCTTCACTGAGGGATGGGCCTCTTCCTCATGTGAGGAGGATTTTCTCTGACTAAGCCTTGGGGAGAAGGGAGGGAGCCCCCAGAGTCAGATCTGACCCTAACCAATTCTTTTTGATGTGAATTGACCCATCTCCAAGCTGACTGATGGTCAACCTAAAGTGGGGTTAATTGTTTTTACTGGAAGTCAAGTGTCCTAAATAGCTCAAGCTACTACAAAGATGTATGAGAATTGATTAAAAATGTCACTTTATTATAAAGCCATATCATTTTTTGCTGAGGTTAGTATCCATCTTAGCTCATTTTAAAACTTTTGGATGGTTAACAGTTAATAGTTATTCGAAGACACAAATATATGCAAATCTTACAAAGATTTGCATTAAACAACTTGGAAATTGTCAGATTCACTCTGTAAATCTTCCAGATGTCTACAGGAGGAGTAAGAGAAGTCTTTACAGGTAGCACACTAGGTAATACCCTCAGATTCCTCAACACTAGGGAGCAGCAATTTCTTAATTTTCACTAATACTTTTATAGAACATAGGAAATTATCTATACCATGTCATGGGAACTGGGCCATGGCCATGATTAATTCTCTTGCTAAATTTGTTTAGAAAACTATTTGGCTGTTTGAATAAGATGAGAAATCACTGTATTTCCATTGAAATAAATTTGAGTGTCACTGTTTTACAAATAGCAAAAATACAGAAGAAAGCTCATTTATATCAAGATAGTTCTTATAAAATAAAACTGTTATGTCCAAACTCAGACCGAGGAAGCTTCATGTCCAAACTGAGGACAAGGAAGTCGAACACTGCTCTGACCAAATCTGTTCCTTTCAAATATACAGTCAAAGAGAAGTGGAGCAGAAGGCCGAGCCTTCTTTGAGGGAAGCGAGGAGGGAGCGGCAGGGGGTGAGGAGAACACCTGACCATCTTCTGTCTACTCTGCTTTTGTTCTTTTCCCACCCTCTTTCCTTCCCTTTTCCTTCCCTCTTCTTTGCTCAGCTCTCTGCTAATGTTCAAAGGACTAAGGCTATGGTATTGCCTCGCTGAAGGGGAAGTAAATAGCTTCCTGGCTGAAATAGGCTCAAATCCTATGTATTTATCTGCTCAAATCCTATGTATTTTAATTCCTATACTTGTGCTGGGTCTTCTACCTCACTTTGGCTTTGGGCACTCCTCCACGAGAGGCTGTCACATCACAGGATGGCCCAGGCAGCTGGCCTCCGAGACCACAGGAGGGCCAGTTCTGAGAGTCTCCCCCTATTCCGAGCTGTGGAAAGTAGCTCTGGAACTCAACATCCTCCTTCCTTCCTTGCTTCAGTGGAATGACAGCACTGAGGCCTGGCTGAGTGCGACAGAGTCCCATAGAGGGCGATTCACAGCAAGTTTCCTCACATGGCCCTGTCCACACAGGCTCAAGAACTTCCTGAGCTGGGAGCAATGGGTGGGCCAGACTTTGGTTGTTACCAGTAATTCAAACCAGGAGGCATTTCTTCTTTTGATCTTACATGTATACTGTTTTTTCACTGAGGGCTGGAATGAAGGCCAACATCTCTTTTGATGCTTGATGATACACAGTGGCCTTTAGTGATACTGTTGCCCAAGGTGGTTTGAGGGAATGAATAATTTTAGGTGAGTGCTCCACGGGCAAAAATTAAACCCCAGCATATTAAACTCATTTCACAAATATTACTAAGTTTAAAGAGAAGTTTTAAAAAGATATGTGATCAGTTTAAAGTAAAATACTAAAGCAGTTCAGAGTACTGGTAGTCAGCAGCAATTCTAAAAGTGAAGATGTCATCTGGAACATCCACACTGTGGGGCCGGCCTGCCGAGCAGTGCCCTCTTCACTCTCCTAGGAGCTCTGTCCCAGCCCCCAGCCCCTCTCTCATGACTCTCTTGGACTCTGTAACACAATCTATACCATCCTTTAAAAGCAGTCTGTCCCCACAAAACGCTGGCTACTGCCTTATTAGTAAGCCATCTAAAATGCATGCCAAACCCTGATAAACGCCAAGCCCAGGCAGCACAGGGCACATCCCACAAGGTGCAGGCAAGTTTCAGGTTCCCAATGACCACTGTGTACCACCCAGATCTGCTTTCATCTTGGCAAGGGTGGGGCGGGAATCTCAGACTGATGTACGATGGAGGGCATCCCTGACTGTCCTGACTCTGTGAATGGGAGTTGGCTGTGAGGTTGATGTCATCAGTACAACACCTGGTTACAGAGATCCTCATTCAGGACTGGTCCCTGAACTCTCTCCCAAGAGAGTCTGGCTCAAGGACTCAGTATTGGGCAGAAAAGCACAGGCAGGGTAAACCCATGGCTTCTTCCCTGATCCCCATGCTTTAAAATTTATGCCTTAATTATGTGATACAAGTTTTGGATGTGTTAAATGGAGTGACTGTCAAAAAAGAGCCATCAATTCTGGTTGGCGCTCCCCCATGTTTAGGCAATTTATGGTCACTAATGCTACCTGGTAAGTTGACTCTGCTCTCAAAGTACATGTTTTGGGTTCTGGTTTACCTTGAAAGATATATCAAGAAGTTTCATGGTTCAGGGTCAAACATTTTTGGCTACTGTGCATTTTTTTAAAAAACACATTGCTCTTATGGGTACCTGCCTGCTTGTATCTGTTTGATATATTTTTTTCTGGATCAAGTTTCACTGGCCCATACTCTATGGCAGAGAAGTTAAGGACTTTGATCATCTCCTTGTCCCTACATGGAGGCAGACACCAAATTCTACAACTTCCCATGCCACCCTCTGTGCTGAGTACTCAGAAATGTATGCACACCAGCATCCTGAGCCTCCAATGAGAAGACAACAGTCCAGCCCTGGATTTGTTGACTTAAATGTACATTTTTGTATTTCACAGATACCTACAGCAGCTGGTCTCCAGGTATTAACAGGAAGTACAATATCCAGCTTACTTCCCTGTTGCTCAACTGTTAGAAAAGTTTTACTGCAAACAACACTACTTAAGGATGGCCTGAAGGATACGCAGTTTGCGCTATCATCTCCCAGTTCTCTGAAATCTACTCAAGGCCGGCAGAGAGCACTGCACACTGCCACGTCATTTGAACTATGGAACAACCCTCTGTGGCAGCACCGCCATTAGGTTACACCAGCAAGGGGCTTCATGAGGAACAACCCATGAGAAACAGCTCGTTTCAGGCCTGTTGAGGACTTTGAGCCTGATGTCACAGGGTCTTCTTTAAAAGATGCTCAGGAAAGTTCTCCCTCACCTCAGCACTGAAAAACTCCCCTGCACAAGAACAATGGGTAAGTTATCATCCTGCAGACCCCATGGCTCACAGTCCTGCATCCCCCTGCCCCGGCACTGGCTGCAGGAGCGCACCTATGGGAGCCAACAGAACCTCCCAACCTGTGCGTAGCGTGTTAGCAGCGCTAGGACTTCCGCTTGTCTTTCCGATTTACGTTTTCCTATTTAATCTCTCTCAGCCACAAACTCTTTATGTGCCAAAAGGTAACGGGCCTATTAGGAGAATTTTAAAAGATGTATTGTATTCTGATATATACACCCTATATACTGTGAGAATAGCTAACCATTTGAGTGCTAAGTGTACTTTGCAAGTGTATTTAGTCCTCATTCTAAGCATTTTGCAAGTATAGTTAATCCTCATGCAACTATGGGAGGTGGTGCTAGTATTATCTCCATTTTACAGATGGGGAAATAGATGCCCTGAGTTTGAGGCTGACATTCAATTTCTTAACTCTCTGACAGGTAAAACAAATTTGAACTCATGCCATGTGACTCTGAGCCCCTGCTCTTAATCCCTACTATAGCATCTACTACTTTAACGCTATTTTTAAAAAATAACTGGTCTTATTTATCCTCTCATTTGTTTTCAGAGGCTGGGCACATTTGCTTTTATGGTAACCAACTTGTCCAGAACTTCTCAGCCTTGTTACTGACAATCCCATCGCCTGAAACCTCAGCAATTTCATCAGAATGCTTATTTTGGCTATAGCATTGCTGGTTCATACAGCTGCATTTGTGTAAATTAGGAAAAAGGACATCCATTTACTTTTAACATAGTTTTGATCTTCAATACATTTACATCAACTGCCTTTTAAAAATAGGGTACAGAGAAATAAATATGAATATAGAACTTCATAATGTATTTCACATCCCGAGTTACAGGTAAGCTTAATAAATATATTACCTTTATATCCTTGTTCTGTCTCCCTGAGATCAATTTTGGTTATTGATTTGAAATCAGTGTCCCATAGTCGTATACACCCATCTCGCCCACCAGTGGCAAAGCCTTCTTCACACACATACATGCTAAAGATTCCAGCCTGTTGATTAAAATAGGTAATACTCAATGCTGCAACCATCCTAAGTACAATGAATACAGTTGAATGTAGATTTTAAAACATAACAAGGCAAAAACAAAAATATAACCGCCTTGTTCTCTGTTGAAATGCTGACAATGGACCAAGAAGCCATTCATAATACTGTTCATCTCAGCTACATTAAAAAAATGTAATAAAGCAAACTAGTTCAAGTGCTCTTTTACCACTACGAAAAAGATGGCAGTTTATTTTTTTAATTAAAAAATATAATTAATGCAGATATGGGAATCATAAATTCTTTTATGTGATAAGTCGCCTTAGAGAAAAGACAACTATGGAGGTGTCTCATGTAAGTTGCTGCCTAAAACAATTAACTAGAGATATGAGGCTAGAAACAAACACTTTTATAGGCACAAAAGTGCCTGAAATGTACCTCAGTGAGCTCACAAAGGTACCACTTGAACCTAATTGAAAATGTAAATAGCATTTGTGTTAGCTTGTTAAGCATCATTTGAAGATTTTTTTTTTCACATGGGAAACAGTTTTATAATTTAAAGATGCTCTTCCACAGGAAAATACTTAATTTGGTTTGTTCAAAAGTGCTGCAAGAATATAATGTTGACATAAGATGCAGTATAAAAAGAAAAATTAGGTTACTAAGGCAGCTGCTTTTATGAATGAGGACAAATACTGACCTCTTAAGAGCTGTTTCGTAATTAGTAAAGCTAAGAAAATTCGTCTGCAACATACAGTGAAAGATCTGAAATGTCATAGCTCTTTCTAAGAGTTGCTTAAACTCTTCCTGATATTAAAGGTATAGGGAATCAATCTGGAGGTGACAAGCTAAAGGTTTGTTTCCAATAACATCTTTACCCAATTTCCATTCACTATGATAGGCTTTACCTTTTACATCATCTTCCCATTTGTAGGGACAATTTCATCATCTGTAGATACAACAGTCTTGTGTTGACATTTTCGTATGTGTCAAAAGAGAGCAGAGTGGTAAGAAGTTTGTCCTTGTTTTTACAGAGCAGACCGCCCGAAGGTATGTGGTTATCGATGGTTTCTGACTGTATCTTAAGAGTTCATGACACTGATGTGGAGGTAAGACACTGAACCTCAACATGAAGAATGAGGAAAATCTACCTTACCAACTAATGTAAGAGTAATAATTATCTACACCTTTCCTGTTCAAATTATGGGCCATTGATGAGCTGCAGTGACCTCATCCCAGACCTATGGAGCCAGAATCTGCATTTTAGCATGATCCCCCAGAAAGTGATGGGCATACTGAAATTTGAGAAGTACCTATAAGATGAATCTGATGATTAACTAGTTCTAATATTCTGTCAAACTACTGTGGATGATTAACACAAATCAATCAATAATTAAGGTGAGGGCTAATCACTTTATATGCTTTTGAAATATATTTTCCTTTAAGTGAGCAAATATAATTTAGGAAGTTGTCACGAGTGGGGAGTGTTCATCAGGGTCCTCTGATTCTAAAGCAACAAGGGAAAAATACAGGGAGGGATTCGTGGTCTTACCTTATTTAGTAAATCACCCATAGATTTCCACGTGGTAATACTCACACTATGCGCTCCTTGAATGGTGCAGACTAAATTGAGCCCTTTCCAGACATAGATGTCACCATTTAAAGCACCAGAGTAGGTGATGTCTTCTTTGGCACATGCAAGGCAAAGGATGGTCTGAAGATCCCCCGTTTTGCCAAATATCCCTCTTTTTGCAGTCAGGGCATTTCCACACAGTGTCCAAAACTAGAATGTAAGTGATAAAATAGATCCCCAAGATAGAGTATTCTGATGTATTGCATTGGTGTTTATTTATGCTTCAGTGCATTCTACGTAATTTGCTCTAATCAAGCTAGGCACAAGTAAGTTAATTTGCTTTGTTGTAACAGAGAACCACAAAAATTTTAGCTAATTACTAGAAACATGAGAAAAACCTATAACAATACTTTTAAAAACTTTCAAATTTCAAAGCTTTGCTCACTGTTTAATGGTGATTTAATAGAAGACAGTGTTCTCAGAGTTGGAATATAGTGGATGAATCATGTTTTCGCTTAATTTTTTGTCAAGTTATAAAACTAGTATAGTTTATTGTAGAGAGGTTTAGAAACAGATAAGTATACAGTAAAAAGGAAAATTGTGATGGTCTATAACTTCTGGTTAGCAGTTGATATACTATGTAGATATTTTTTTCTTTTTTTTTTGAGAGAGTCTCACTTCGTCGCCCAGACTGGAATGCAGTGGTGCAATCTTAGCTCAATGCAACCTCCACCTCCTACGGTCAAGTGATTCTTGTGTATCAGCCTCCTGAGTAGCTGAGATTATCGGACTGTGCCACCAAGCTCAGCTAATTTTTGTTTTTGTAGTAGAGGAAGGGTTTCTCCATGTTGGCCAGACTGGTCTCGAACTCCTGGCCTCAAGTAATCTGCCCACCTCGGCCTCCCATCTAGGTATTTTTTGTGTACCTGTATCTGGGAATAATTTCTAACTTTAAATGTTATAAATCTTCATTGCAGAAATGTTACTTAGAAATGTTTCCAAGTATATTTCCATATAGCCAAATAATTGACTGGACTTTTCAGTGTTAAGTTGCATAAAATGTGTCCATCCTGCAGCAAACTGTACACATAAAACTTCGGCAATTTTTTTTTTTTTGAGACAGAGTCTCACTCTGCTGCCCAGGCTAGAGTACAGTGGCATCATCTCAGCTCACTGCAACCTCCGTCTCCCACGTTCAAGCGATTCTCTTGCCTCCGACTCCTGAGTAGTTAGGACTACAGCCATGCGCCACCACACCCAGCTAATTTTTTATATTCTTAGTAGAGATGGCGTTTCACTGTGTTGGGTAGTCTTGAACTCCTGACCTCAGGTGATCCACCCCCTTTGGCCTCCCAAAACATTGACATAGTTTTAATGTATCAACTAGAATAACCTCACTGCCCTTGAAATAGCCCCGCTCTCAGTTTATAAAGGCTACTTGCATATGCTGTTTGACCCTATTTGATCCTAAAGTGGACAGTACTGTCATCTCCATTTGGAAGGGAGGAAAAGCAAACAGAAGTAGGTCACTGAAGGTAAGGGTTCGATGCGGTTAGAAAAATATTCAAAGTTTTATCTTTGCCTTGACAACTTTGAATCTAATGCAGAGACAAATGAAACAATGAGATAATTTTAAGGTAGCATATTCAGACTGTACCCCGGTAGCAAGGAAATTCAAAGGTAGAGAACTAAGTTGAATTGAACAGAATGAACAAAAGTAGGATTTGGATTTGGATCAGCGGTGAGGAAGAAACCGCATCTGGATTCACAGGAACAGGATGAGATGAATACATGTGGCAGGAATGTGGTGGGTAGGAGTAAATTACTAACAACCCTACTATTTTGCACCTGCAGGAGAGGAAAAACCATGGTCCTCTCAGAGTAGTTGGGTACTGGAGGAAAGAGTTCTGGGATGGCTATACCACCAAGATGGCCAGGATTCAGGCAGTTAGGGGTGGGGGGCCTGTCCTGTGTGTGCGTGAGAGGGGACTGGGGGTAGGGGGATGCCTTAGAAGGAAAGAAGGGCAGATATGCAATGAAGGCTCAATATGGGACTCTCTACTCAGAAAAAGGTATCAGCTCTGGTCACTCATTTCTTTGGGTATTATTATTAATGAAAAGGTGTTAAAGTATATATTGAAAGAATAAAGCAGCCAGGTACAGTGGCTCCCACCTGTAATGCCAGCACTTTGGGAGGCCAAGGCAGGAGGATCACTTGAGCCCAGGAGTTAGAGACCAGCCTGGCCAACATGGCAAGACCCCCTCTCTACAAAAATAATTAGCCTGGTGTGGTAGCATGTACCTGTAATAAAGTTTTTTTTAAAATAAAGAATAAAGAGATCTAGGAAAAAGCTAGTTAGGTATAAGCTTTGGAAAACATTTAACTTGTAACTCTGAACCTGAACAAACTATTAAATGATTACTGGTTGAATAAACATGCCAAAGAACTTGCTGCTCATGGCAATGCTTAAGGTACTCATTCCCCTTTTTCATTGTATCTCCTCCTGCATAACAATTAAAAGAGTAATTATTGTGTCCTTTACTTTTGGATGTATACCCCTGGCCTGAAATATCTGAACATTTCTAGACAGTCACGAAAAACAGAGGCCATTATCTGCAGACTTGATCTACATAAGTTTTTTGACAAGTCACCAGATCAGATGGTATAAGGCCTACATGAAACATTCCAAATAGGCAAATGATTCCCTAAAAAGTATAGTATTTTCTGCAGAAAATGGCACATACCTGAAATATTATCTCTTTCTGAGAGGCATTTCCTACTTGGAAAACAGTGGCAGTTTAGGGTAGCAATGCATCATTAAACCCACATCAAATGAGGAGACCTTGTTTATTTTCTCCAGTCTCTACCCCATACTGTAATGCAAACTTTGTTAGAACTGGCAGGTACCTTGATTTCATCTAGCGCTAGGTAGTCCCCAAAGTCCCTTCTGTCTCTGACCAGAGACGGCTCAACAGTATTCACAAACCTGGTAGGTTCATTTGCTATAAAACTAATGAAATGGCTGATGCTCAACTGTTACTGTTTTTCAAGCATTCATTTCAGATAATTGTAATTTGTCTATTTGCCAAAACATAGGAGATTTGCAAAGCCGAAAAGGATTCACCCTAGCTGCACAAATTTCAGATGCAAGTATAAATAATTCTGTATTTTAGTAGAGATGAAGTTTCCTCATGTTGGCCAGGATGGTCTCAATTTATAACTGGAATCATTGAATGTTCAGGTATGTTTTTGGGGGAAAAAAGGTAGAGGAGTCCTGGTAATTGAATACAGAGAATAGGAAGAGCAAAAATAATTTGTTGAGGCCTGCTTTAATGTATTATATTTATTTCTAAACAAAATTAATAAACTATTTCTAGGTAGACATTGAAGATTCTTCAATTTGAGGTAAAAATGTTTTTATTTGGTTAGAAAAAATGTCCAAATCTGCTAAGACAATTAAATTTAAACAGGATAAGCAGCTCTTCTTGTTTTCAAATAGTTTCAGAATTTTATTTGTCTCTGCTTTTCTGCTTTTAGAATTTGCCAATTTAAAAGTTGGAGTTAACCAAGGATAGAGAGAGATAGGAAGGAATCTGGAGAATTCTACCAATTAAGCAGCAAATCTAGTTCGAACCCAATAAATATAGGGTTTTCTTTTAGAAAAAAGTTAAGGCAAGATAGCTCACGTAAGAAATAATTTCTCAGTGGAAAGCACTCTATAGAAGGAGCCAGAGGCTGAACTTAAATCTCATCTCTGCCATTATTTTGGTGATCCTAGAAAATGAGGAAAGAAATTAACACTGGGCCCCTAGTGGGTTCCATACTGTTTAATGAAATTATCTGAAATTCAGGGGGTAGTGATCTGTCTATACACACACACACACACACACACACACACACACACACACGAGAGAGAGAGAGAGAGAGAGAGAGAGAGAGAGAGAGAGAGAGAGAG